AACAACATAGGCAAGGCTAGGAAACAGGACCTGTTTAGAGATTATCAGGAACTAGGAACTAAATTAAAGAACAGGTCCTCAAGGGTTATGACCTCGGATTACTGCCTGAGCCATGTGCAAACTGGCATAGAGATATGAGAATAAGGGAAGTAAACATGTGGCTCAAAGAGTGGTGTGAGAAAAACAGGTTCCTTTTCATGGGACATTGGCATCATTATTGGAACAGGAGGGATCTGCACCGCTGGGACGGTCTCTACCTGAACCGAGCTGGGACTAATGTTCGAGTGAAAAGGGTAAATAGGGTGGTCAACAGGACTTTAAATTAGAAAGTGGGGTGGGCGGAGAGAGTAAAACGCCAAGGAGTATCATGGCCAATGGGAAACAAAACAGCAGGCTAACATCTGTGGGAGTGGATTCAACTGCATGGAAAAGTATGAAAAAAATGGAAAGTAAGGAGAGGTTAGCGAAGTCTCCAGCACACAAAATAGGACAGAGTGTTTGGAAAGGGTTAGGTATCAAACTTCAAGCACTCTGGATAAATGAATGACAATGGGAAGAGGGATGGTAAATACAAGACTGAAGGTGTTATATCTGAATGCATGCCTATACAAAATAAGGTAAATGAGCTGGTGACGCAGGTCAAAATTGGCAGGTTTGACATAGTGGGCATCAGAGAGACGTGGCTACAAGGGGATCAGGATTGGGAGCTAAATATCCAAGGACAGACTTCCTACCAAAAAGACAGGCAGGTGGGCAGAGGGGGTGGGGTTGCCTTTACAGTAAGAAATGAAATTAAATCAATAGCAAGAAACGAAGTAGGGTCAGATGATGTAGAATCTGTGTGAGTTGAGTTGAGAAACAGCAAAGATAAAAACAAAACCATAACGGGAGCTAAGTACAGGCCTCCAAAGAATAGTCAGGATTTGGGGCACAAGATACACCAGGAGACAGAAAAGGCATGTAAAGGAAAGGTTACAGTGATCATGAGGATTTCAATATGCAGGGGGGCAGGTGGATTGGAAAACTCAGATTGGTAGTGGATCACAAGAAAAGGAATTTGTGGAATGTCTATGAGATGGCTTTTTGGAGCACCATGAGCTGGACCCCACTAGGGAACAGGCAATTTCAGATTTATTGTTGTGCAATGAGGCAGACTTGGTAAGGGAGCTTAAGGTGAAGAAACCCTCAGGAGGCTGTGACCATAATATGACAGAATTTACTCTGCAATTTGAGAGGGAGAAGGTGGAATAAGATGTAACGCTATTACAGTTGAATAAAGGTGGCTACAGAGGCATGAGTGAGGAGCTGAGCAGAATTCACTAGGAGAGAAGCCTAGCAGGAAAGGTAATGGAACTGCAATGGCAGGAGTTTCTGGGAGTAATTCAGGAGACACAGCAAAAATTCATCCCTAGGAAAAACAATATATACTATACTATAAGGGAGGATGAGGCAACCATGACTGACAAGGGAAGTCAGGGTTAGCATAAAAGCAAACAAAAAAGCATATAATGTGGTGAAGGGCAGTGGGAAGCCAGAGGATTGGGAAGCCTACAAAGACCAGAGGACAACAAGAAAAGAAATAAGGAGGGAGAAGATTAAATGGGAGTGTAAACTAGCCAGTAATTTAAAGAAGATTGCAACAGTTTCTTAAGATTTATAAAGGGCAAAAGAGAAGGAAAAGTGGACACTGGACTGCTGGAAAATGACGCTAGAGAAATAGTAATGGGGAACAAAGAGATGGCTGAGAAACTGAATAAGTACTTTGTTTCAGTCTTCATGGTGGAAGAAATGAGTAATATACCAAAAATTCAACAGAGTCAGGATGGATGGGGCGGGGTGGGGGAGGAGGGGGAGTGGTTGTGGTGTGCAGAGCCGAGTATGGTGGCCATCACCAAGGAGAAGGTGCTAGGAAAACTGAAAGGGCTGAAGGTGAATAAATCACCTGGATGACATGGACTACACCCCAGAGTTCTGAAGGAGATAGCTGAAGAGACAGTGGAAGCGTTAGTGCTGATCTTTCAGGAATCGCTGCAGTCACAGAGAGTCCCAAAGGACTGAAAAATCACTAATGTAACATCCCTGTTTAAGAAGGGTGTAAGGTAAAAGACAGGAATTTGCAGGCTGATTAGCCTAACCTTGGTCATTGGTAAGATTTTGGAGTTCATTGTGAAGGATGTGATTTCTCAATACTTGGAAGTGCATGGTAAAACAGGGTAAAGTCAGCACAGATTCATCAAGGGGAGGTCATGCCTGACAAATCTGTTAGAATTCTTTGAGGAGGTAACTAGCAGGTTAGACCAAGGAGAGCCAATGGATGTTATCTACCTGGACTTCCAGAAGGCCTTTGGCAAGATGCTGCACAGAAGACTGCTGAGTAACATAAGGGCCCATGGTGTTAGAGGCAAGGCGCTAGCATGGATAGAAGATTGGCTGTCTGGCAGAAAGCAAAAAGTGAGGTTAAAAGGGTCTTTCTCAGGATGGCAGCTGGTGACTAGTGGTGTTCCACAAGGGTCAATGTTGGAACCATAATTTTTCACTTTTAACTTTTCACTTTTAAATTAATGATCTAGATGAAGGAACTGAAGGCATTCGGGCTAAGTTTGCAGATGATACAATGACAGGTAGAGGGACATGTAGTATTGAGGAGGCAGGGAGGATGCAGAAGGATTTGGACAGGTTAGGAGAGTGGGCAAAGAAGTAGCAGATGTGAGGTCATGCACTTTGGTAGCAAGAATAGAGGCATAGACTACTTTGTAAATGGGGAGAAAATTCAGAAGTCTGAAGTGCAAAGGGACTTGGGAGTTCTAGTCCAGGATTCCCTTAAGGTTAACTTGCAGGTTGAGTCGGTGTTAGGAAGGCAAATACAATGTCTGCATTTATTTTGAGAGGACTAGAATATAAAAGGAGGAATGTACTTCTGAGGCTTTATAAAGCTCTGGTCAGACCACATTTAGAGTATTGAGAGTAATTTTGTGCCCCATACCTCCGCAAGGATGTACTGGCCTTGGTGCAGGTCCAGAGGAAGTTCACGAGAATGATCCCAGGAATGAAAGGGTTAACATATGAGGAATGTTTGAAGACTCTGGGTCTATACTCAATGGGGTTTAGAAGGATGAGGGGGGATCTAATTGAAACTTACAAAACACTGAAAGGCCTGGACAAGTGGACATTGGGAAGATGTTTCCATTATTAGGAGAGACTAGAACCCAAAGGAAAGGGCGAACAAAGGGAAGACCCTTTAAAATGGAGATAAGGATAAATTTTGTCAGCCAGAGAGTGGTGAATCGATGGAACTCACTGCCTCAGAAGGCTGTGGAGGCCAGATCATTAAGTATATTTAAGACAGAGATAGATCAGCTCTTGACTGTCAGGGGGACCAAAGGTTACGGGGAGAAAGCAGGAGAATCGGGTTGAGAAAATTATCAGCCATGACTGGATGGCAGAGCAGACTTGATGGGCCGAACGGCCTAATTTCTGCTCCTATGTCTTATGGTCTATGGTCTTATGGCCTGGAATTGCAGAAGGAACAGGGTAGAAGTGGCATAGTACCCTTTGGACTTTCTTTGTTCCACCTTCCCTTGAAATCTGCTGGGAGAGGAGTGAAAAATCCAGTCCCAAAACAGCGCAGGTTGACATCCAAGACAACAAGGTGCAGGGCTGGATGAAGACAGCAGACCAAGCAGCATCATAGGAGCAGAGAGGCTGACGTTTCAGGCCTAGACCATCTAGGCCCGAAATGTCAGCCTCTCTGCTCCTATGATGCTGCTTGGCCTGCTGTGTTCATCTAGCCCTGCACCTTGTTGTCTCGGATTCTCCAGCATCTGCAGTTCCTACTATCACAGGTTGACATCCACCTGCTCACTTTTGTGCCAACGAAAATAGATACCCAGCCTAACCTCACTTTTTAGGCCAGACCCCTGTAGGTTTGGGCATGTCCAATTCAAGATCTTTTTTAAAGTATTTGGATTTCTGCCTTTACAACCCTTTTAGACCGCAAGCTCAGGTCCCCACTACATTCTGGTGAAAAGAAAGATCCTCAACTGGGATCTATCAATTTGTTTAAATTTATGCACCTCTGATTATTGATCCTGAGGTTCGAGGACACAGATCCTTCCTATCTACCCTATCTAAGCTCCACATAATTTTATAAATTGAAAGAAAATCTGTATTTGGCTTCCTCTCTTCCAAAAAAAACAGCACAAGTATATCCACTCATTCCTTCGTGCTAAATTTTTCCAGTCCTGGGAATATCTTCATAAATGTATTCTGTGTTGCAATTACATCCCTCCTGTAATGAAGTGACCAGAATTGTACATAGTACTCTAGCTATGATCTAACTAGTGTTTTATACAGTTTTTTACATAATTTCTCATCTATTCATTTACCTATGCATCACCTATTCCTCAGCTACTGAAATAGGACATCCTGTCTGCTTTGTTAACCAACTTATCGACCACTCTGTTTCTTTCTGGGGTCCCTCCATTCTGCTACATTCATTTATTGAATATGATCTTGTCTTGTTTGCCCTCCTCAAAATGCAATATCTCTCACATGTCTCTGGGTAGAGATAAACTGGCCACTTTACTGCTCAACAGTTGTCCATTGACATATTTCTGCATTCTACAGCTTTCTTCCTGATGGACAAACATTTGACCAATTTCTGTTGAATCCCAGCCTTTGTCACAAAAAAAACACAAATCAACTGTTTTCCTTTGCTTCCACCCATGGAGGCAATTTGGATTAAAATTGTCACTTTTCATTAGATACCATGAGTTTGATTTTCTGAACAGTCTGCCAAGTTTGACCTTGTCAGAAACCTCACCAATTTACAATGAGAGGAGGAGTAATCTAGGAACAGCAGCAATGAGGATCTGGCCCATAATGTTTGATCCATCTGAAAGACTATATTCTGGTTGAAATTAGACTCTTCTCACCTATCCACCCCAGCTTTCGTTTTGGAAAATGCATGATAAATTTCAATCCTACGTAAAATAACTTACAGCAGCTGTCCTGTCAACTTCATATCGACTGCTAAGGATAAAACAGGCTTCAGCATCATCCATTCTGAATCAGTCACCAAAAGATCCAGTTGTAGAGGAAGGCAGCATTAAAGGAAATGGATTGAGATTGAAAGAAAGAGAAATATTTCAGAATCATTACTGTATTCACTGATGTGTCTGCAAAACAATGACAAAAATGCATGGAGACTTGCAAACTACAAACACCAACATAAATGTCGCTTTGGTGTCAAGATGTTGCATTAACAACAATTTTATCTAATGTGTATTAAAGTTGTATGCACAGTGTAATGAAGAGATTCATGGCAAAAAACAAAATTGAAATCAGTTCAACCATTATTGACTCTGAACAAAGCTCTGCACTTTACAACTATTTTTGTATTTTGAAATGAGAACACACTGGAGAATCCTGCCAATCAATTAGTTATTTTTCCTAGTTTAAAATCTGGTATTTTTGAAGGAAGCTCTACTCCATTTTCATACATTTTTCACATGATCCAATTGACATCAATTGCCAAAAGCCCTACCAAAGCTGTTGCATGAAAGCACCATTGATAAAGGATTAATGATTACTAAACAGTAAGAAAGTAGTTAGCTTGCAATCAGAAAAATAACAGAGGTAAAACTATATATGCAAGCAACTTATATAACACTGCCAGAACTCCAGTAGTCTTGTTTCTGGTGATTTGGTGGATCAATAATTTTGTTATTTGGTGCTAACAGCAACAACAACTCCCCTTCTTGGCAAAGCCTTCTTCTTGAGTGCTTGTAGTTAACAAAAACTCTCGACCCTTCTTTAGTCTGGTTTTCCATCCTGAACAGTGGCCTTGCTGTAGTGTCAAGGCAGAGTATTTCAGCCCGCTTCTTCTTACCCTTCTCAACAAGTTATTACATTTTCATTTAATGTCAAATATGGTATCATTCTCTGCTCACTTCCTGTCTTTCTCTTGCTCTCTTCCCAGAATGATTCTCACAATAGTCTCTCACTGTCTCTATCAATGTCTCCTATGTTTCCCCTTTCATTTTCAACCCTAAAAGAGTCTCCTTTTTATCTCCCCACAATAAGAAAAACCGTCTTTCTCTGCTTTTCCAACCCTCTCTCCTATTCACTTTATTTACGCTGAAATATTACAGAAAGAAAGGAGATTAATCCGTGGAGACATATTCCTGTGCATGTATATATTCACATCATTCATCCTTCAAATATTTGTGCAACTCCTGTTGAAATTTCCTACTGAATCTGTGTCCACCATTCTATCAGGTGATACATGCCATATTTCATAACTTTCAATCAGGCATCTTCCCACAGAATCAGTGATACAATAGATTCTATCTTGTCAGATCCTTTGTAGAATTTACTTCCCCACTTCATGCTGCTGATAGGGAATCATCTGAAAAAGTGCATCACAAGTTGTACAAAATATTCTTTCTAAAGTATCGTGAACACCTGTTTTAAAAAAAAACTCTCACAGGTGTCTATCAATAGATTATTCAAACAAATCGCTGTGGTACTCAATGCAGCCAAGAAAACGGAGCATAATTATTCACGTATGCAAATGCCAGTTAGCACAAAAAAGGCACAGATTCTACAGGTTAGCTACTTTCCATTTCAGAAAGTGTGATTAGGATCATAAAATTATAATGCGAATCTATGATACACTGAATAGAAAAGTTCAGTCAGAGCCACTTTTATTCACTTTCAGACTCAAGGCTACAATGGAGGCTGCTGTTATTCACAGCTTTCTGACTCCGATAGCTTTTCCATTGATCAGCAGAATGAAAGTTCTGGGGTCAGTACAGTGGGTGATTGCTGGAGTAACTATGGAAAACTGACATTTTTCAACACAGCAGCTCTTAACCAGCCATCAACCTAGCCAGTCAATGCACCATCCAATCCTCATTTAGGATGAGATGAGATTGACCGGGATATGGGCAATTCTTAGAACCAAGTTACTGCAAGGACCTGAGGTACCTCAAGATCTACCTCTTAAGATACTGGCCTACAGATCGCATGTGGCAAAAGCTCTGGAATAGAAAAAAAGACATGTTTTGACACCCATGGGAAACATAGTGTGAAGGAGGAACAGAAAATTATTGATAACCGGAAAATCATTAAGGAGAATAGTCTTTTCAGATCTACAGGTGGAACTATCTGGATTCCATATTGTCATGTAAAAGTTAGTGGAGCTCCCTTGTGGCGTCTTTTGTAAAACATTTTAAAGACAGATAGTCTCACTGCAATTTTCATAAAACCTGCATGGCCTGCAAATTTTTTAAAGTTAAATCCTACAGTGCAAATCCTCCTTTTTATTGTTCCTTCATTCTTGACTGTTCACATTCTGCCAGCAAAATAGGGAAATCCAACTGATAATCACATGTCTTTATCTCTCATACTCCAGGGTCAGTGGAAAAAATAATTCTAACAGTCTCAGTCTCTCAAGGTAGTTGGTGGTCAGTTCTCGCTCAGTATTACACAGAAACACTTTAGTTAAGTAATTGCACCTTAAAACTACTCCATACAATGCACTTCAAAGTAAAAGCATTCAGTCATTATCAGCTGCAACAGGTAAACTGCTGTTCATTCCTTCCAAGTCAGCCTCTATGGATTGAGAATGTAGATTGCAGGTTTAGTCACTGTCAAACAGTCCTTCTCATTTGTAATTTTTCCAAATAGGTTTCAGGGAGAAATGGCACCTGTCCTGGGTAAAGTCCTGGATCTAATTGGAAGTGGCAGTGCAAAGACTGGGGAATGGAACAAGCTCCACACCATCATCATTCCCAAATTACAGTCCTCAATGAAAAAACTTAATTTCCAATGATGTACCAGAAGTAGCATCAGGGCAATAAGCATAAAATAAGCAATAAAATGATATGGAGTCAGTGCAGTTTAAAGAGTAGGAGGTCATGTTTGATTAATTTATTGGATATCTTTGAGCAGATGATTAACCTAGATATTTCTACCCCTCATGTGCATTCAGTCCCTCAGACACATTGCCCAAAAGCACATTGATTTCCAACTGCAAAACACTCAGGTCTGCCTCACCACCATTGTCCTTGATCCATCACTGCTTCTGATTTCACACAGAGCTCATCCAACTGGATGAGCAGAACTTATCTCGAAGAAAGATTGAGAGAATATGATACAGGTTTGTTTTCACACGGGGCACAACAGCTTTAAGGTAATTTGAATCCAAGCAAGTTTTTCAGTCTGTAAGCAAATTTATATCTCTGTGGTCATATTTGCATTAAAGCACAACAAATCAAAATGGAAAACAGAAGATGACTTTTTTCACTAAAACATTAGTTAAGCGTGTGGAGCAGATAGTCAACTTTGATGGTGGGATAAGAAGCATTAATGGGCTTCAAGAAGGGACTGGAGATTTCTGACCAATAAGCATGATTCAAGGCAATTCAAAAGGCACCAAATAAATGCCACAGACAGGTGGACTGGAGGAACAGCAATCATCTGCGTCCTGAAAGTGTCACTATGCAAAGTTGAATTTCATTAATACAATGGAAAAGTCACTGTAGACCTACTTGGCTCGGAGAAGGTCTTGGTCCTTCAACGCTGATCCCTGGAGGTAAATTACCCTTTGTGCCCACATTGGAATTTGCAACACCCTTCGAACCTGTAAATCCATTTCAGTAGGACAAAGTATCACTACATAGTAATCCTGTTAGAAAAATGAAATGTAAATACAATTAGCAGAACATGGAGCATTTATTCATTAATTCTTAGTGTAAGAAAGAAAAGATTCTCATATTCTCCCTATTTTTAACATACACTATCAAATTTAAGCAATATATATTCGTGCAATTCTCAGTTAGTAATGATTCACTTGTTATTATGCATCCGTAATTTATTGATTAATTATTTCATACTTAATTCAATTTCTTGTTTAATTTAATGCAGAAATATTGTTATTGTTAATGATTTTTAATACTTGTTTATAATGCTTACCAGGGTAAAGTCAACAATAATAATTGGTAATGGGTTCTTGAATACATTATATTGTATATACTGCCATTGTTGTTTATGGCATGCATCTGTACTGATTTATGGTGTCTGCAAACACAGCTGATAATGCAGTATCCTTGATAATAAAAGTTGAATTTTATTGCACAAATTGGTCACTACTGATGGAAAGGTTCAGGTCTGATTATATTGTGACTTACCCCCCACAGATTCATTCACCACACAACTGCTTAGAAGATGCAGCATTGATGAGATTAACCATATCCACCTACCCATTAATTGTAAACGACACACTGACTTTTAAAAACCTGTGCAAATTTACATCAACTGTTTAAGGTGCTGCCGAAGTTACATATATAGCCAAGGTAGTGATTCCTTGTCCAGTGGTAAAACAGTGCAAAAATTCACCACTTACTCTTTCACATGATCTTTAATCCTATACAAGCTGAAAAATTACAAACCCAAAGGCACACGTTTGTCAATTTACTTACTAGTTAAGCAAAAATATTAGTAAAATGCTCATAATTTTCTCATAGAAACACTTCTCATAGAAACATCAGTGGCTTCAGTAGATTTAGCAAATTGAATTTAAATGCATTTTTAATTAATTCAAACAATAAATTTATTGATTTTGACAAGTAAAATATAAAACTGTACTGAAAAGTTTACTTCAACATGGGAAAGCAGTTTAGACTGATGCAAGATTGAACTGTCTGTATTTTAAATGCTTCTTTTCATGGACAACTATGTGATTAGTACACATAATCTTAATAACCTGTAATCTGGGATGAGCGTAGAACTCATTCAAAAAATCCATTAGCAGGTTAATCTTCAACGAGGTGACACACAGTACAACATGTTTTTCTGTCTGAGCTCTGTGGCGACTATAGTTTCCTCCTGACTTCTGTCTCTCCATCCACAGATAGGCCAGCTGTTCAAACTGCAGGACAAAAACAAAGCTACTTATCAATTTTCACAACCAAACACCAAGATATCGTCATGACTAACAGACAGAATATCAACATGGGCAAATTTGTTTTATTTTTCATTACTGCAACTAATCACACTCAACACAATGTTTACTTGCTGTTATGCATTTCAAATCCAAAATTTGCAGTATCCAAACAAATAACATGAAGGGGAAAATGAATTCTTGTAAGGTTGTTTAGATTCGGAGCAACAAAGCAGAGGGATAGATTTTCTTAATGGTTAGATCCAGTTACTGTGAGTAAAGTATGACTAATCAATAGAAAGAAATTAGTGGAACATTATGCCAATATTCACCTATTTAAATGCTCCATCCAATTTTCCTGTTAGGTTTTATATTGATGCCAAAATTTTCAGTTAATTGTAATATGGTTACATTTTGTAGATGTTATTTAACTGACAATATAATTTCCAACTCTTATGCCAGTATAAGATTCAATCATCTTGCTTCACGCGCAAAAATTGCACCTGGGGCTGTAACAGCATGCTGAATACATTTAAAAGGGCCTGGGGAAGACTTGTCATAATATTTTTGATGACTTTTTGTTTCTCTTTTTGACACATTTTCCTTTAGTGTTCAAGAGACATGGGCATTTCGGGAAAGGCCAGCATTTGTTGCTCTTCCCGAGTTACCCTTGAGCTGAGTCACTTGCTCAGCCATGTCAGAGGACAGTTAGAAATTAGTCACATTGTTGTAGGTCTGGAGTCACATGTGGGCCAGACCAGGTACCAGTGGCAGATTTCTTTCCCTAGAAGACCTTAGCGAACCAGGGTGGATTTTTATGACAACTGATGAGCTTCATCGACACCATTACTGAGAAAAGCTTTCAATCCCGGATTTATTCATTGACTTTAAACTCCACCAGTTGATTTGAACACATGTTCCCACAACATCAGCCTGAACCTTTAGATTACTAGTCTGGAAATTTTACCACCACATCACCATCTCACCAACTTTGTCGTTTAGATAGCTATGTTCCAAGTTCTTTGGCATTACCTCTTGTTTTGATAAACCACAGTTGTGGCCCAGTAAGATTATCAGTGTGTTTCCCTTTTACTTATGCTATTTTACAAGAGTAAAAGCAGCAATGAAAGGATGCCAGAGACAGATCGCATCTACCTGCTAATAACTTACCGTTCACGTTTACAGACAGCAATCACAGATTCCAGGTCAGGTAACATGAAAATCAGAGCTGCACTATCTAACGCAAGGACACCTGCAATCAGCAAATATCACTCAGCCTGGGGACTTGATAGCTATAACAATAAAAGTGCAAAAACAAATTGTTTTTCTCCATCTGCTAATATTGTAATACATCTTGTGGGGATGTAGTGCACTGGAGTGCAATGCAGATATTTACCTTTTGTTTCTTGATACACTACTTGCATTTTGATAGACAATCGACATGGATTTTGGAGGGTTGAACTACTGCATCCCTTACCACAGACCTTTTACTTTATACCTCCATGTTGATTGCATCAGCTACTGAGATTCAATAGACATTTTGACACTGGGATAAACTTTGGAAAGGCATAAACTGATACATTATAATAAATTGATAACTGCTACCAATATTTTCATCCATTTTCCACTAAACATGCCAATCATCCTTGTAATCAGCCAACTTTCAGGCTGTTAAGAATGGGTCTAATATCGGGAGGAACTTCACCCAAGGATGTAATTTACATTTGTTGCATAAAATCAGCGGGGCTCATCGAGTTAGTTGCATTTGTTGCCATCACAACTGCAAGGAGGATACTCGCCACACACGCAGCCACAGTGCCTGTGCCATCATGTTGGTGATGCCGCAGGTAGCTCTCTGCATCAGAGAACAGGACCATCCACAATAAGGAGCGACGCAAAAATAACATAACAAGTGGTACCCAATTAAATGAGTCTTTTCTCCCCCCAAATATTTCAAACCAATTGATTCCTGGACATCCCAATTTGGGGGTCACGATTTCACTGCCAGCACTTGGCAGTCCTGCTTGCTCCCTCACTTGCTGTCCTGCTCCTGATTACTGCTCCCCATGCGTAAGGGAGCAGGGCAGTGAGTGAGATGGAGGCAGTGAAGGGTCAGGATTAGCACGGCCAAGGAGGTAGCGAGTGGGTTACCAAGTAAGGGTGGCGACTGTTCATGGAGCAAACAATGATGGCAGCCGTGGGGGTAAGTGGGTGTTGATTTCCTGTTCCAGTGTAGCAGCATACAGTGGTACCTAAACTCCATTCCCAAAATAATGCCTCACCAGCACTCTGTATCAAAGGACTCAACTTTACCAGTGCCTGGACGAATGTGGGCAATGTCAAGAATAAAAAAAAAAGCATTCTCAGCATGAAGGAAAAAGTCCAACTTTACACATAACGTTTCAAAGGCCAAATGAGAATCTTGCTAAAGAACAGTGAGTTGACTATTCTCTAATCTCGCCTCATTTCTATGCAGATTGCAATTTTCCCAAGCAGCAGGGAGAAACTAGACGGCGCCAATTTGTGAAAAGAAAGTCAGAGTGGTGAAACTCAGCAGTATCTATTGTGGACATCCATCTTGGCAAACATTTCCCACCATCCAGACGGGCACCACCTTAACAGTGTCTGCTTGCACCCTCCATCCACAGAGATTGGAATCAGCAAATCAGCAAATCAGCAGCCTCACCACATCATCATAGCACAACTCCAACTCACTAATGATACAGTTCACCTCTTCAATACCGCACTTCGGAGCTCACCAACAACTTATATTGCGATACTGCTACCACGTTGCTTTGTGCACAGCAATGGGCACGTATCTCACATCAGAACAGGGTCCACCAATGGCTTGTTATCTTGCTTTCTTAATACTTGCTCACCTTGCACCTACTTGGACACACTCAGCACCTCTGCCTTCCCTGCCTTTTTGCGTAGACACAAAGCCAGGCAGCATGTCATTGCTGTCAACAATGGTCAGCCCAAGTGAGTGGACATGTTGCTGTACAGCCCTGTGCTTCATTGATGTTACCCATGCCAGCAGCTCACAAGGCAAATACAGTGAATATGCTTTGACTTCAAAGTCTAACGGGAGTAATCCTCAGTCTAGAGAAGACAGAACTGTTGTCACTCAGGAAGTGCTGCAACAGTACAGTCAAGGTTACTGTTCAGTCTCTATCCAGAGACTGGGATACTATCAGTACGTTGCCGATGGTGTCAGGAAATCTATATCATTACAGTCCAGGAAATGGGCCACAGTCAGTCCTGTAGGTCAAGTGCAACCAGTTTAATCTTTGAGGAAGCTGTTTAGAGATCTGGTCACTCATCAGTCAGGGTGTCGCTCTACACCAGAGGGGTGGGGCATGAGTCAGCCTGAAGAACCTGTTCATGGCTAGTCAAAGCTTGTTATCAGGGGCCACTTCTGTGCTGGGGATTTTGCGCAAGTCAATTAAGGGGATTGGGAGTTACATTCTGGGATGTAGAGGGAATAATCATTGTAAAGGGAGCCACCTCAACACATAAGGGTGTGAGACACTGAATCATGAGAGGTCGCGGCTTACTGCAGGAATTGGGGATTGGGTCATCAATAGTCACGAGCATCTTGCCTCAATGGGGAGACACTACATTGTGATGTTTGGCATGACCAAGCTATAAGCCTGGGGCTCGGACAGCAAGGTGGGGAGATAAGGAGTTAAATAAGGGGGCTGGCTGGGAATGTGGGGAGGTTCAAACCTGATGGGGTTGTTAGGGAGAGCAAGGCAGAAAGGAACATAAAGGTTTTGAAGGCGGGGTGCATGTCACATAGAATGAGAGGTAAACCTGTGACTCATGCTCTGGAACATAGAAACATAGAAGATAGGAGCAGAAGGAGGCCATTCAGCCTTTCAACCCTGCTCCGCCATTCTTCACAATCATGGCTGATTGTCCAACTCAGTAGCCTAATCCTGCTTTCTCCCCATAACCTTTGATCCCATTCATCCCAAGTGGAATATCTACTCGCCTCTTGAATACTTTCAATGTTTTGGCATCAACTACTTCCTGTGGTAATGAATTCCACAGGCTCACCACTCTTTGGGTGAAGAAATGTCTCCTCATCTCCGTCCTAAATGGTCTACCCCGAATCCTCATACTGTGACCCTGGTCCTGGACACACCCACCATCAGGAACATCTGGGCCTGCATCTGCCTTGTCTAGTCCTGTTAGAATTTTATAAGTCTCTATGAGATCCTCCCTCATTCGTCTGAACTCTAACGAAAACAATCCCAATCTAGTCAATCTCTCCTCATATGTCAGTCCTGCCATCACCAGAATCAGCCTGGTAAACCTTCACTGCTCTCCCTCGAGAACAAGAGCACCCTTCCTCAGCAAAGGAGACCAAAGCTACACACAATATTCCAGGTGTGGTCTCACCAAGTCCCTATACAACTGCAACATCACATCCCTGCTCCTGTACTCAAAACCTCTCGCAATGAGGCCAACATACCATTTGCCTTCTTTACCGCCAGCTGCACCTGCATACTTACCTTCAGCGACTGGTGCACAAGGACACCCAGGTCCCGCTGCACACTCCCCCCTCTCCCAATTTACAGCCATTCAGGTAGTAACCTGCCTCCTTGTTTTTGCTTCTGAAATGAATAACCTCACATTTATCCAAATTATACTGCATCTGCCGTTTGCCCACTTACCCAACCTGTCCAGATCATGCTGAAGGATCTCTGCATCCTTGTCACGGTTCACCCTCCCACCCAACTTGGTATCATCTGCAAATTTGGAGATGTTACATTTTGTTCCCTCATCCAAATCATTAATATACATTGTGAATAGCTGGGGTCCCAGCACTGATCCCTGGGGCACTCCACTAGCTACTGCCTGCTAATTTGAAAAGGACCCATTAATTCCTACTCTTTGTTTCCTCTCTGCCAACCAGTTTCCTATTCATCTCAATACATTTCCCCAATCCCATGCACTTTAATCTTAAACATTAATCTCTT